CCCCTCGTTCCGTACTGTTTGAATTGCGCCATGCAGGACCGCGTTCCTCGCTAGCTCGGTCCTGCCGGCGGAGCAGGTGTCCGGCGGTTACAACATCCGCGACGACAGCGATGAGGTACTCCGCAAGAACGCATTCCATTGCCCCCCCTCCCCCTCCCTGCCCCAACCACGTTCTCTTCGTCTTCGTGCCATCCATGCACGCTCTCCTCCATCGCCGCTTAAAAAATATCAGGCTCGGTTGACTTAGACACGGTGTCTTCTGGAAAGATTTGATTCGCTTTTTGGCTACTGCTGTTGTGCCAAGTCGGGACGGGAAGAGAAAAGGGGGGCCTGCAGCGTTGACTAGCCAGCTAGTGGCACGCCTCTCTTGTTTTTTGGCGCGCTGTCGTGGTTGTGCTAGACGCAGACAACCGCCCCTACGACATGTGGAGGTGTTTGTTACGTCGATATACCCTATCATGGACACTTCTTGCTTGTACAATGGGACGGATCCGCGTTGCCAGCGTTCGATTTTCTCCGAAAGAATCTGGCGTTACCGGTTCCGGGGGGGGGGGGGGGGGGCGGAACACACCTCGCCGTGGGAACGACGAGGGCGAACAGGCTCACACCCCAACACCGAGGGCGAGGCAGCGGGGCATGACACTACTCGAAGCGCAAAGCTCGCTCGTACAAATGAGGATGCACGGGCGCCTGCTTCATTTGTCTATTTGTCTTGCTTGTGATCGTTCCGTTCTCTATTTTTCGTGTGTGCGGTGTGTTGTGTGTAAACATGTGCGTGCCGCGTGTCTGCCCAGGCGGGGGCAGGGGCCGACGGGGCGGAAGAGCTGACGGAGGAGGAAGGGAGGGAGATTCTCGAGATGAAAAACAGCAGCAACATCTACACCGACATGGTCAATAGTGTCGCGCCGACAGTCTTCGGTCACTCGGAGGTAGTATATGCGGTTGCATGTGCGTTCGACCGGGATATAGGTAGTGGCTTGTTCTCGTCTTCGGGTGCGGGTTGATTGATGATGGTGTTTTTTTTTGCCGGTGCTGAAAGACTGCGTGTGGGTTGCGGGCGTCACGCCCGACGCTGTACGGTCGGTAGCTGTGTGTATGTGTGCGTGCTTGGTGTACGAAAAGCGTCCAAAGGCACAAGAAGAATGCGCACGAAGGAAAATCACTGCGGCCTGTCAAGGTACTGAAGTGATCGAGCTAGCTCTGCACCCACGTGATGACGATTGTTTTTCTTGTCGAATCTTCCTCTGGAAAAGCGGAAGGAAAATATTCAATAAACGAGTGGAACCGCTTCTCATTTGTAGCATTTTCACGCCACGCCGCCCCGTCAGGTGAAGCGCGGTGTCCTGCTGATGCTCCTGGGCGGGGTACACAAGAAGACGGCGGAGGGAATCAAGCTGCGCGGGGACATCAACGTCTGTATCGTGGGCGATCCCTCTACCGCCAAGAGCCAATTCTTGAAGTACGTGCACGGCTTCCTGCCCCGCGCCATCTTCACCTCCGGAAAGGTATGTCACATTTTTTTTTGTTGTTGTTTCGTTTCGCCCCAGATGTACTAGCTGTCCCGGACTGATTTGCCTCGGTGTCGATACTTTTGTCGAGAATGTTACACTTGTGGTTCGTGCAATCGTACGCTGGTCCTACCGTGTACCAGGAATGTATCTTGGGTTGCCTCCCTCCGCGCCATGTTTTTACATACAGAAGAGAAAGTGTGTGTTTATGTGTGTTTTCTCTTTTTGATTTTTTGCGTCCTCCACCCGACCACCGAGGTATGAACTACGCGTTCTCTACTGTGTGTTTGCAGAATTGTCGCTTCCAGAGAGGGAGAGAGACACACACAGAGAAAGAGAGAGAGAGAGAGAGAGAGTAGGGGCGGGGGCATTCTGACCTTAGCCAATGGCCTTTTTCCCCGCTCATCGGCTCACCCCTCCTCTTCCTCCATTTGCCCACCCGCACTTTGCCTGCCGACACATACGTACTCCATGGATGCGACACGGTGGCGCACACGAACCGAAAAACGCACGAAAAGGCTTCGAGCGCGGCGGGTCTGACAGCGTCCGTCATGAAGGACCATGAGACGGGCGAGTTCTGCATCGAAGCGGGAGCTCTCATGCTCGCCGACAACGGCATCTGCTGCATCGACGAGTTCGACAAGATGGACATCGGGGACCAGGTATGTTATCATCTTCTCCCACCTAACCTACACCCTACTCGCATGCGTTTCGAACGTCATCGCACCCCCTTTGACAAAGGTAGACGCGACAGGGTCAGCAACTCCACCGACTGAGCGATGTCTTGTGCGGGATGGCCCCGGCAAGGTCCTCGTTGCGGCATCACCGCCTATACTGCTTCTGCTGCTGCTGCTGCTGCTGCTGCTGCTGCTGTTGCTGTGTGCCAACGAAGGGGGGTGTCGTGTCTGTCACAACCCCACGGTTCACATGTTGAGAGCTTGAAACAAGGCCAACATTATCCCCCCCCCCGCGCGCGCCGCCCCCGGCGTTTGCCATCGGGATTGGGTTTTCGTCGATTGGCAACGACGTTGTAAAACAAGCCAATTCACCTCGTGAACTCGGCAACCAGGTTACCGGTTTTTTTTACCTCTGTTTTTTTTTTGGCGGTAACCATGATGGTGGTCGAGTAGATCATGTTGTGCGGGGTGGAGAAGCCTCACTCCGTGCAAGGGGGATGATCGCACCACGTTGTGTTAAAATGGTCAAGCACCCTCGAGGCAGTTGTACAGTGCTTACAACTGTCTCTGGAAGTGAAAGCACCAGATAATCAATTAAGTCATACGCAGCTGTCATCCGTACGCAAGGAAGTAAGCACAAGATGCCGAACACCCT